TCAGTTCTTAACTCAAATCTAAGTATGTAAGTCAAGTCAATATTTTCCTATGAGAGTGGTTCTTAAGTCAAAATGTTCTTAACTCAAGCCATTCGTAAGTCAAGACCCCACTGTAACAGGTTGAAGATTTCTGAGGCTCCACCAGAAAGTCTTAGACATAGGAGGCATTGCTGGTGAGATTAAGTTTGGGACTGAGAGCAGTTTGGAGGTTTCCACTGAATTCCTGCTTTGAAGAAATTATGGCTTCAGCTCCATATATGGAAGAAATAGTTTTCTGCTTCACATATTTTTAACTATAGGACAGATCATCAGGAATCTCGCTGGTAACCTCACTCGTGAGAGGGAAACATGGCTTCAAAAGAGTAATAATTACTACCTCTCTTTCCCCATCAATCTAGTTTTGTTCCAACTTTCATAGCATGACAACTGTACAGTAAGCAAGGAGCATATTTTTCAGAGGAAATCTAAATATAAATAAATGCATTGCAGGTGGAAATTGGCAAAAAAGTTAAAGCTTATGTCAGAGTACTGGATGCTTCTAGGAAATACTTTGCAGCGAAATACTTCACCTTCATGGATTTAAACCTACAGGCAGCATCTCAGATTATTTCCTTGATGTAAGTTCTGTTCTAACTTGTTATGCTGTTTTATAGGCAGAAGAAACAAAAGGAATAACACTGTAAGGCAGCAGAGGGCAAAGTGTGGCCTTCGAAAGGTGGTTGGCATTGCAACCCCCAACATTTCTCATCCTTGGATGTCCTAGCCAAGACTGATGGTTGTTGTAATCCAAAAACATGTGGAGGGCTGTACTTTCTCTTCCTCTGCTGTAAGAAATGTGAAAAGAAGATATCAAAATCGTCTTCATTCAGAGGGAAAGAGTAATAAATACTTCTATGACACATTACTAATGCTATTAGTATAATGCTTACATTTAATGTTCTATTTTTATTCATGAAATCCTATGCAGATGGAAGACAAATGGCATAACATTCAGTCACTTCCAGCCAGCAATCCAATTAAAGAGTCACTGCTTCAATTCTGAGGGGAGTCCATCCACCGGCTGGGTACACACTCAATATTCCTAGTGGGCACTTAATTGTCAACTGGAATATTTCACCTTTTGCCTTCTGCCTATGTGAAAAAGAAATATGATTGCAGCCACTGACTTATTGTTTAAATTATAAAATTAATAGACTAATTAATAGACTAATATATATAATAGCAGTAATATTATTGTGGTGGACTTGAAAGATTCTTTAAAACTTTGTTGAATAGTATCTATGTATGAATTTATTTGGAGCCTTATGTGTTAGGTTTATAATAAGCTGCAGTTGGTAAAGTTAAAAAAACACACAAAACAGTGGGATGGATTTCTTTTTTAAAAAAAGCCTACTAAATAAAAGCAGTATTGCACTTATTAAAACTAATCAATGTAACTGATTTGCTTAAAGGGAAATGTGTGAAATAGAAGGCATTTACTTGCCTTTGAACACTGTTCAGAGATGAAACAAGGTGACCTTATTAGGAAAGGGTTCTCAGAATCTTGGTACCATCACTGAGAAAGTTGTGTTTCACTTTCCGATACAACTAATTCACGTACATTTGAAAATACTGATGCCACTTATCTCTTTTGCACCATCTTGCACATTGGCCATGTTGTATTAGGGAGGAGAGAAAATGGTCTGGCCTTTTTGGAACCTGCAGAAGCAAATTGTTCACCAATTTCTCTGCTTCTGACTTTTACAAAATCATTTCTATGTTCAGTGAACCACAACCCTTGTACTAAGCCTCATGGTGCAGTGGTTAAACTGCTGTACTGCAGCTAAAACTGTGCTCACGACCTGGGGTTCAATCCCAGGTTGATTCAGCTCAAGGTTGACTCAGCCTTGTATCCTTCCGACGTCATTAAAATGAGTACCCATCTCGCTGGGGGGGGGGGAATGTGTAGCCTGCATAATTAACTTGTAAACCGCCCAGAGAGTGTTTGAAGCGCTATGGGGTGGTATATAAGCAGCACGCTTTGCTTTGCTTTGCTTTTTTGTAGTACCTGATTATTTATTATTTTTCCAGGAAAGACTGGACACCAGATAGATAAAGTCCTGTTTTTCCCCTTTATATATACGTATATATATTAATGTTGTTATTGTTTTTTCCCTGCAGACCTCTGAAGGAAGCTTCTGATGAATACACTGCTGCTTTTCTAGTTCATGGCATTGCCATAGGTCAAACCAGTCTTACAGCAGTTGTCACTGACAGATACGGAGAAAGAATCAGTTCAGCGCCACAGCAGATTGAAGTAAACATTTTCACTGCTAACAGATAATGGTTTCCGGATTACTTACAGGGAGAGGGGCTGTTTATATTCTAAAAAATCTTACCCTTCAAGTTGATTAAAATATCTGAAAATGATATTGCTACTTTTAATGACCAGATATCAAAACTATTAAGCAGAAGTGCCGGCTAGCATTGTAGCATTCTCATTGGGGAATTGTGCATTAATAATCCTTTAGAAGCAATAGCAGTCTAGGTTCTATGATCAAAAAGGAAGCAGTACAGCTGCTGTACAATAGCCTGCTCTACTCTGGTTCGATTTGGTTAAGACCAATCAAGGAACAAAGACAGAGAGAGATGGAGCTTGACTTGTGTCCAAGGAACAAACACAAGATCGAGGTAACACTTACAGAAAGTCATTGAGAATTAACAAGGGACCTTCAGTGAAACTTCAGAGTTATAGCTATATGGAATTGGAGTAAAGATCAGACAGCCTATTTAGGGAAGAAACTGAGAGCATAGCTGCAAAGAATTGCACTTCAAAAGAGGAATCTTGTATGGGAAGAAGGAGATAGAATGAGAAAATTTTGCAGTGGAAAAAAGTTCCCTCACATCACTATCACCTGCCTCACCACAAATGAAACAGTGAAGGAGTTATTTTGAGAAGGAGTAAGCCAGACAGCAGAAGAAGGACCACATTGGAGGAAGCGAGAAGGCACTATGCTTAATATGCTCAAGAAAGATATTACAAATATTGCAGAAAGAAAAAAATACTAGAGAAGGATAGGAAGGGTTTTGCCCATGAGTAGCATTTTGCCCGTAAGACTCCTCAGACCCAAATAGGAATTTTTGACAGTCCTGAAAATACAAATGGTGTCCCCAAGAGGACATTGCAATCTGACCTTTAAACCAGTTCCTCCTTAGGTAGGAGTGTGGGTGTGCACATGTGCTCATGTGCATGCTGTTTTAAGTCTTAAGGGACTTTTCTAAAATGCTGTTTCTGAAAAGAAAATGGGGTTCTAGGGTCGAGGAAATGGGGCCCAGGAAATTAGTAGTATAAGGCGAAACATGTGCTTGCAGATACCGTGATGGGGGGGAGAGAATGAAGTTTAAATGGGGGGGGGCTAAAAATTGAGAGGAGGTACGTATTGTACCAGGAGTGTTGGAGGATGTCTGCAGATATCTAATGTAAGGGCCCCTGGATACCTGCAAGTTACACACCCTGGAATACATTAAAAAACTGTACAAAAGAATCTGGGCAAGTAGAACTATTGTGATGAAAACCATTGAAAAATCTGAGAAAAGATGGATTTAATTTTTATTTTATTGATGAACTAATGGTATCCTTTTGCTTCCAGGTCTTTCCTCCTTTTAGACTGATGCCTAGAAAAGTCACCTTGCTCATTGGCGCATGGATTCAAGTGAGCCAGTTTGAAGAGTATTGTACTGAATGAATTATTTCCAGAAAAAAATATATTGTAAACTGAATAGAAACTGACCACCCCATAGTGATGTTATTCCAGCAATGGAAATTCTGCCACACTTTGGGGTCCCAGTGTATGTGCAAGTGGAGTAAAACCAACAGTTTCTAGTTATGCAATGAGACACCTAATGTCTTAGGCAACTGGTTAAGCAACCACTTGGTAGGAAGTCTAGAACAAATGTGCTACTGCCTGAGTAACTGGACTAATGAACAGAATTCTGTTAGCAGTATATTAGAACAAAAATACCAGGTTATTCCTAATAACCATTTCCAGGATCCTAACTGCCTTATTGTTAGAATCAGCAAAGAAAAAATTCAAAATTTGTTCTTCAAATCTGAGAAAGTACTGTTCTTTTTAATGTTCTTTTTTTAAAAAGGTTGTAAACAGCTTTAAAATGTGTTTGCAAACCTTTGAATCATCTTTCAGTTGTGCAGTGCAGCCAACTGAATCTTCAAAGATATGTTGCCTATGCTGAGTTAAGCATTCAAAGAAAGATGATTTATCACTGATGTCTTGGTAATTTTTTTAATAACTAACCACAGATTTTCTCTGAGGGAGGACCACAGCCTCAATCCAACATAATCTTCCTCATGAGTGACACCAGTATTGCTTCTGTAAACAGCAGTGGCCATATAACAGGCATCTCAGTCGGCAACAGTACTGTAACAGGAATGGTTCAAGCTGCTAATGCAGAGACTGGCCAAGTTGTGGTTGCGTCTCAGGTAACTTTTCTCCATATGTGTATTTTATAACCCTGAATTAAAGCTTTTTCTTTGTTTTTGTCTAAAACTGCATGTAAGTATAATTTTTCAATGTAGGCAAAGGAAGGATTCTACATTTTTTACATACTACATATTTCAGTTTGGTATGTTTGCTAATTTAATAGGGCATGGTCTTGCGGAACATATCTCAGGAGATCCATTGCAGGATTCTAGGCCCTACCAGTTATCATCAGTTGGAACAGGAAAAGTAGGGTTTCCATATTTTTGACTATGCCAGTTTCCGGCTGCCATACCTCAGAAGTCTAGATTGGGCCTGTCCCAAGGGAATGAAGTATCTTGTTCAAGATAAAAATAAGTTTGGAATCGCTCATTGACATAATGCAAAGGAGAGAGAGAGAGTTCTGTCTTTCTGACTAGTGTAAATGATGAAGCAGAATGTCACAGAACTTGCAGAAGGCTTGGAGGGGGTAACAAATAGTACAGAATACAGCGAGGGTGATAGTTACTCTGGACTAAATTCAGTGTTAATCCAAACTAAAGTAAATCCCTTAGAATAAACAGAATTTGCTAAGCACTATTTATGTGGCGATGTCAGAAAATCTGTGGAAGGAATTAATGTTAGATTTAGTCATATGTATCACTTACATAACATTCAGGATTCTTATTTAATCTTGTTACCCTTTTGTTACATTTCTAAATACATGATTATACTTGCACCATTCAACATACTGTTCACAACTTGTTATGCTTCGATTATTAAACAGGCACTAGAATATTAAGCACCAAATCTGTTCAACAAATATATGGAAGATGGTGGATTTTGATGGTTTGATAGATTTCACAATGCAAGATTGTTATTTGAATTAAGTTGCATTATAAATATAGTAAAAATGCATTTTTAAAAAAGTGAAAAATGAGTGTTGTGGTAAAATGATACACTCATGGATAAACAATAATTGTTTCTTCTATCTCAGTAACAATCTTATATGTTATGTCATATTTATTCCATTTTAAATGGGATTAGAGGTTGCATTGTTAGGGAATTTTGTAACAAAGTCGCCCTGGGAGTCCATCACTATGGTAGCATTTGACTGTAACCCAGTACTTCAGATATGTTTTATGTTGGCTCAAATTGAGATTCCATCCTGAATCTCATCTTTATTTTGTGACTTTCTTTCGTCCCATAAATACCGTTTAATACAATTTTTATGGTAAGCAATAATTGAATGCCTATATAAGCCTGTGCTCCTGAAACTGAATTTCAGTCTTAAAGTGTCATTTCATAATAAATACTGTAAGTTCCATTCTGTTGATGGATTGCTTTCCTTGCCTAGATTCTGATGTGTCATTTACGGACAAGTACTTCAGAGTGAACTGACTTTGATATGCCATTGAGTTTTTATAGTATCCTGATTTATATATCACATCTGTAGTTTAATCTACTGAATTGGTATACCCCGGTTAAGCCTAAATTCATCTGAAAACCAGTTTACTGTGAATTTGTTTGTTTTTTAATACAGTGGGAGAAATAGCTAAATATAATTATATATTATGATTTATAACACTATCTTATTTTCCATTTAACTATAATTATGGGAAAATGAACTTTTATCAAGATTTCTGCCTCCTTTGTTCCAATGACTAACACAGAGCTTGGGGTTTTTATGTTGTTATTGTGTGAATCATCTTTTTACCTATCAGAATTACAGTGCAGTGTACATATTACAGGCTTTGATACATAGGCAGCAAGTGATTTGGTTTTGGCTGTTGATATTATCTGCATTGTGCCTTACTCTTTTGGAGTCTATTAACTGCTGTCAAATGTACAAGTGTTATTTTCTCTATTCTTGCCTTGACTCTTAGTGGCTTTATTAGTCAGGTTGTGAATCAGCAAATCCATCTTACAATGAAGCAAAAATAAGGGATGTAAATGCCCAAAAGAGTCATCCTTACATATGAGACAAGAATATTTGTTTTAGAACTGTCAGTCTTTGAGAGATTTTTTTTGCATTTTTATGTATTCATACATATTTGTAAAATATGCAGAATTCATAGCTGTGGTAACCATTGCATTGTGTGCATCCTGGTTTATATATTGGTATGGGGTCTTTGGCCTTTGTGACCAATCAGCCTGCCCTTTTATTCTTGCTGCCAGGGGAGAATGTAGCTTCACAAAAGGCATTAATTTTACAAAGAGAGAGAGAGAGAGCAGAAATGTAGTTGTCTGAAAGTTAAAAACAAAGGAAGATAAAGTCTTAATAAGCTTCTGAGAACTAGTGAATGTCCACATGACTGCTGAAGCAGGGCATGTGAAAAAGGAAGAAGAAATGTATCTAAAACAACTTCCATGTATCATGGAAATTATATTAGAGAGATCATGAGGTTAAAAGAACATTTGTCTACCTGTACTGTGGGTAGCTTTGTCCCTTCACAGGGAGATAGATATACTGTGGAAGTCTGGTATTGGTAGCCAGTCACAGCTTTGAACTGTCTCGTGCTACCCAGCACAGCAGGGGAAAGCTTCAGAAGGCCGTCTAGTCCTGCTGAAGCTTCCCCACCTCTTCTCAGGCCTGAATGGAACTACAAGGCTCCTGTCCCAGAGCTGTGAACCAGAGAGGCCCTCTTCGAAGATAGGGATAAATTTCACATCATGCTGCAAGCCTTACTTATATTATTAAATTTTATGAAGGGCATTTCTCTGTTCCTCGTCTCTTCTGTCCTTTTAGTGACAATTGTCATATTCTCTGGTATACAGGATCCACTTGTAACAGTATTCTGTAATTTTTAAAACATGTGGGTTCCAAGCATTTAATGTTTTTTTGTTATGCTTCTGTGCCAGCATTGGCCAACAGTTATATTAGACTTTTGCATAATGGGATTGCTCAACATAGAACAAATTGGGAGACTGAACCACTATATTCATATAAGCCAGGATGACTCTTCCTAAGTTTATACCTATTAAGTCTTCAAAGTGTGCAGAGTAAAGGATAAGATATCCTGAATGGAACGTTGTTGTAGGTTTTTTGGGCTCTTTGGCCGTGTTCTGAAGGTTGTTCTTCCTAACATTTCACCAGTCTCTGTGGCTGGCATCTTCAGAGGACAGGAGTAGCACTGAACTTGTATATTAATTGTTTACTTTCTCTAAGTACATATTCTTCTTCTCATTTGAAATTCTCTCAGTGATTGATAATTGTTACTTGCCCTGAGCCCAAGGGATGAAGCAGGATAGAACATAAAATAAGGTAACTTGGTATCCTAAAGGTAGTTAGTTTCTGCATTTCTCTCTGTGACATAATTTGCTCAAAAGTTAAGGAAGTGAAATGACAACATATTTTTGAATACTACTAATTGATTTGATATTGAGACTTTCTGCCTTTCTCTTTTAGGATAAAGTTGAAGTTGAAGTAATTCAGCTTGAAGCTGTTAGAATCCATGCGCCCATTACACGAATGAAAACTGGCACTCAGGTGAATTAAATTACTATTTGAGGGATTTCATTCATTGTTTTGACTGGTGTATAACAATAAAAAACATAGGACTTTGACATAGTATTGTTGGTGACTTGACTAAGGGACCTGTTTACTAGCATATTTTAACTTATTCCAAGTTCTTTCAGAGGTGGGTTTTCATTTTGATTCTTTTTTAAAAACAAGGTAAATCCAAGCTTTTCTTTTTTCTAGATGCCCGTTTATGTGATGGGTATCACAAGCAGTCAGACTCCTTTTTCACTGGGCAGTGCCCTGCCAGGTTTAACATTTGACTGGTCTGTCACTAAGAGGGATATCCTGGATGTGAAATCAAGATTCAGTGAGGTGAGCTTATATTGTCACAGCATGCTTTCATTTATAAGTTTTATGAAGAAACTAAATTTGGCAGGGAGCAATTAGAAAAATGGGGGGGGGGAGTTGCATACTTTGTGTCCTTACCCCATGATTCTGAGTATATTTCTTTTGAGCCACATTTTCCAAGAAGCCTGCCAAGATACCAGTTCCATTGATCAAGCCATGCCTGTGTTTCATGTGTGCTTGTAGACTGTATCTTCTTCCCAGAGACTATTATTCCTCTCAGAGGCTATCATTCTTTCCTCTTCAAACATACTTTTCCCAGCATCATGCAGAGAATACCCTGGAAACCAAAAATCTTGGAAAATATATACATGAGGAATAAACTTGCTCTTTGGACTCAAACACTGGAGAAAAACATAATGGGGGTGGGGGGGGCTAGCCACTTGCCTCTAACCATGCTGACAACTCTAGATACAATAACCCCTGAATAGTAGTTTATATCTTGTGCCCTTCCCTTCCCAAATAGTACTGTGTCTATTTTACCTTCTGTTTTCATAGGCCATATCAATTCCCTGGTGTACATCTGGAACACACATTCCGTTTGCTTTTAAGACATATGTAGGCACAATGGCTCAGTCACTTGGAGTATTAAACTGTCACTCAACATTGCTAAAATGCCAGCAAAATCTTGTGGCAAGGTTCACCTAATTACTCTCTGGCTTGCATGTCATTCTCACAAAAATGGTATCTAAAGATTACTGTGAAGGCTGTAGGTCTGGGTGTCCCTGCAGCTTCACAGCAGTAGATGTCTCTTAACTAATAGTAGCAGGAGGCAAATTGAATGATGAGCTGACAATCCTGGATTCTCTACATATGTGCAATCATTCAGCATCCTTGAAATGTTTTATGCTACTTTTGTTCTCATCACGGCACACGTAGCACTGATGCAAGCAAGAGTCTAGTCACAATGCTATAGTCTGGAGAGGAAGATTTAGATGCTAGAGTAGGCTTTTAAAACATCAAGGCTTCTTCAGGATTTTAGGACATTTTGCACAGGTCAAGCTAGTAACTGATTGAGGTGCTATCAGATCTGTTTAGCCTGTTGGCATTGGATTTCACCTTAATGGTGAAATTTCACCTTTGGCAGAGACTCTAATACCAGACAGAGAACCAAGTGGCCACCTACCCTGCTTCCCTGAAAATAAGCCCTAGTATGATTTTTAGGATGCTCGTAATATAAGCCCCACCCCAAAAATAAGCCCTAGTTAAGTGAAACCCTGCCCTCCACCATTGTGCAGCAAACAGAAGACGACATGACTGTATTTGAATATATGTAGATTGTTGTACATGAAAAAAATAAAACATCCCCTGAAAATAAGCCCTAACGCTGTTTTTGGAGCAAAAATTAATATAAGACCCTGTCTCATTTTCGGGGAAACACAGTAGTATAAGGGGTGCTCTAGTAGTGATTTTTCTGAATTGGCAGGGGTTTGGACTAGATGGACTTTGAGGTAACTTAATAACATAAGAAGAGCCCTGCTGGATCAAGCCAAGGCCCCATCAAGTCCAGCTTCTTGTATCTCACAGTAGTCCCACCAGATGCCCCTGCGAGCACACGAGACAACTAGATAGCTGTGTCCTTAGTCCAACTGTGCCTGACTTAGCAGTCTATAATAATGGTAAATTCTAGTAATGGTAAAATTCTGTTGTCGTAATTTGAGGCATAAAATTTGAATGAGTTGAAGGATGTGAACATAAATATCAAGATAATGATCCATTTAAGATATTGAATAGAAGTTTTTTTTTATTATATAGAATGCTGTTATCTCTTTCAGGGTTCCCTTCAGCTTTCCACTCAGAATAATTTTGCTATGGATGTTTATGGTATAGGGAAAGGAAGAACAGGATTAAAAGTTGTTGTCAAGACCCTTGATCCTTCAGCTGGGCAGTTTTACCACGTGGCAAGAGAATTATCAGATGAAATCCAAATACAGGTATTTAATATGACGGAATTTGTACAGAGGAATCATATGGTTCTGGGAAAGGACCAGAATAGCTTTGTCAGTATTGTGAATGTTTTAAAGTTCTTCTAATTCCACATGCCTGACAATGATCTCGACTGGATGGGGGGCCATCTGAGAAACAGGTAATGTCCATCAACTGTTCATTCATCCTGCTAGTGTTGCTCAACCAGTTCTGGATGTGATCAGATATTTGATCCATAATTTGTATGTGGTTTTAAATCCACTATTCTCATTTGAAATATAAATGTCTTTGATGGCATGGAGTCCTTTTTTCCACTTTAGACTCATAAGCCAAATATGACATTCCTTGGACGTCAGCAATCTTCTGTCCATGACCCATGCTGTAGTCCAGGGATGGGCAGATGTCTTGTAGGATCAACTTAGTTTTTTACTACAGCCCTGTGATACAATGAAAGGAACTTGGTGCAAAAGACAGGGAATTATTTATTCAATCCTTTTTTTTATCTATAACACACACATTTGGTATAGAATTGCATTTGTTTGTTTATGTTAGGATGTTTCACGTTAACTTTTTAATTCTACCTCAGATTAGCATTTAGTACTTATTCTGAGGCTTTCTGGTTGTTCAGATAATAATCGAATTAAACTCAACAGCTAAGTCTTCGATGACTCTGGATTCTCAGTCTGAAAACATTGACTGCAACAGAGGTCCCGTTGATTTCACTGAATCTTAATTTGAAGAAACTGTATTTAGGAATGCAGTGCAGTGAACAAATCTGAAATTGCATTTTCACAGAGCTAAATAAATCAAATAATTAAAGTTGGTCATGAAGTGTAAATGTAATCTGGGTGGCTTCCATCATTTTAAAGGTCCGCACATTTTGTCTACAAATTTATCAGGGTTAGTTTTGAATTATGTACGTGTCCATTAGTTAATGGATTTGTGTTTTACTCATGTAAATATTAATCTTGAATGTCCCTTGCTTCAAGGTGACAAAAGAACTGGTTGAGATCCCTTTAAGCACATACTGTATGCTGGAAATCTCAAATGAAATACATTTAGAAACTTCAGATTTTAAGTCTATGATCTAGGTATTTTCCCAGTGGTAATTATAAAAGTGAAATGCTTAGCTATATCTAAATAAAGATATGGATGTGTAAGATGTCTTTCCTATTTGGTAAAGAGCATGAAGAAGCTCAGTTATCTGCATTCATGTATCTGTACTGTATCTAGTAGTTCCAATTTTATACAGTATTTTTATAAAGGGGATTAAGATAGCCGAGGAACTAGAAACCAGCAGCAAGAATAATAGGAGGAAAAATCACTCATTGGATGAAATGAAACCCCCCCTGCATTGCATCTTACATTCAAGTGTTCTGTGATTAAAATCCAATTGTAAAGTGAAGGCCTTAATAATCTTTTAGAATTCTTGAGTCGTTGGTGCCTTAACATCTGCTGTCTAAGATCCTATGTGACTTATGATTCAATTATTTCAGGTTGTGCTGATGAGTAAAAAAGACCTGTGTTGCCTTTCAACTTATGTAAGGCGTATTTTTTAAAAAATACAGGTTATTTCATAAAAACTTTTGTCTGTGTTAACTGCCACTTCGGGATTTTTTAGGTCATCCTGGTTCTAAAGCAGTGGTTCCCAACCTTGGGCAAATGAAGTGTTCTTGGACTGCAAGTCCCTGAAACCCGGGCAGCACATCTGGTGATGAAAGCTTCTGGGAACTGCAGTCCAAGAACGCCTGGGTTATCCAAAGTACAGGTTATTTCATAAAAACTTTTGTCTGTGTTAACTGCCACTTCGGGATTTTTTAGGTCATCCTGGTTCTAAAGCAGTGGTTCCCAACCTTGGGCAAATGAAGTGTTCTTGGACTGCAAGTCCCTGAAACCCGGGCAGCACATCTGGTGATGAAAGCTTCTGGGAACTGCAGTCCAAGAACGCCCGGATTATCCAAAGCTGGGAATCACTGCTCTAGAATGGTTCTCAAACTTGGGTCCTCAGATGTTCTTGGACTGCAAACCTCAGAAATCCTGGCCAGCACAGCAAATGGTGAAAGCTTATGGGAATTGCAGTCCAAGAACATATGGGGACCCCAGTTTGAGAACTACCGCTTTAGAGTATAATTTGAGCTCTCTCTTTTTTTCCTATTGGCAATAGTGCTAAAGCTGGAAACCTCGCAAATCAGGTTGTTCATTTGTAACAATACCTCTTGTAATTTAATATTCCATATTAACAGCACTCTGGATGACAATACTGCATTTTAGGGCCTACACATTCTAAAACTGGACATCAGTCATAGTGAAATATGAGCCTGCAAGTTCTGTAAATATATATATTCCTCTGTACTGCATGCCAAATGTACACTCCTTGGGAATTGCAAGCATCCAAATACTCCATGAGGAAATTTAGACTAGTCTTTCCCATTAACTTTAATGGCTGTATTTATATCTCACCATACAGCCCAAGAGGGCCTTTAGGATAGAAATATTTCATTGAGCCCTAAAGGGGAATTCACTAAACATGTGTACATTTCTTTCCTTGCCCTTGCTCAAGGTTCTGCCATGGAAAACACTGGTGAATCACACTGATGGGACAGAGGTTAATCGAATAAGAACTATTACTTTTGTCTGTTAATAATAATCTAGGATGGATTTTACTCCTACAAAAGACTGTATATATTTAGCAAATAAGAGAACTGTTGTCTTGCAAAAAGAAAGTTCTTTCCGTTCCCTTTTGAACTGAACTTTGAAATAGAGATAGGTCATCAACCTATGTTAAAATAAGTGTTTTTTTCTATTAAGGATGTCATGTTTCTTTGTGAATCATTTTAATTGTTTGAAAATGAAATATAATTTTCTTTTTAAAATGTGCAAATCGAATTGTTCCATTTTCTAGGTATTTGAAAAACTAGTTATTCTGGGAGTCGAAGTAGAACAGATCTTAATGTCACCAAACTCTCTTTTTAAAGTTCAGACCAACAGGTAGGTGATGGTTATATTTTTCACACAGTACTTTTCTAGCAGCGTCTGGTAAATGACCTGAACTATCAGTGACTTGCTTCAGTATCTGTAACAAAATTCTAAGTAAAGGCAAGCAAACACTGGAAAAGCAGCAGCAAAGGTCTTGTTTGCATAGTTAACATCACACTTTACTCAGCGGAGACATGAATGCACCTTACAGCTGACCATTTAGTCCCATTGCCGGTCCTTTCACGGGTGGAGTGCACAAACCAAGAATTCTTTCACTAACAATAGGCTTATTCAGGTGTATAGAATCGTGAAAGATTTCTAATTTTGGAAGGGCATAGAATGGGCGGTAAGCCCCATGCATGTCCCACCTGGAGGTAAGGGGTATTCCTGTTGTGTGGATATCTACAAATAGAGTAGTCCTAGATCGAGCTGGAATTTTCAGCATGTATACATTACTGAAACAATGACGTCTACATTGGCTTGGGCACGTCGTGAGAATGGCTGATGGTCGGATTTCAAAGGATCTTTTGTATGGAGAATTAGTGCAGGGAAATTGCCCCAGAGGGAGACCACAGCTGTGATACAAGGATATCTGCAAGCAGGATCTGAAGGCCTTAGGAATAGACCTCAACAGATGGGAAACCCTGACATCTGAGCATTCAGCCTGGAGGCAGGCAGTGCATCACGGCCTCTCCCAAGCAGGCCACGGCAAAGGGCAGTCCCGGAAGCAACAAAATCAGGGAGCTGGAAAGGGGACAGATTGTATTTGTCTTCAGTGTGGAAGGGATTGCCACTCTCAAATTGGCCTCCTCAACCAGACTAGATGCTGTTCCAAGTCCTCGATACAGAGCACATTATCATAGTCTCTCGAGACTGCAGGATGCCTAAGGATATCTATTATATATGCATTGAAATGAATGTGCTTACAGCAATCCTGTGAGCAGGTCTTGACAAGGCTCAGCTCTCAGTCACTGGAATTCTGTAAGCTCATTCAGCTGAACATGCTTACAAGTGACTCTGCAAACCTTCACCCTTAAACATGCAAAGGTCTGTCTTCCTTCTGGATGTGGGGATGATGTGGAGGGTGGGGATTAGCTGCATCCCCATGTGTCCAACACCCATTTCGGCTTTCACCAGTTTAGACATAACACTTGAATAGGGTTTGCAGTTTCTTGTTACAATGACTCATCAAAGCAAGGTTTCATATGGTATGGTGGTTTGTTTTGAAGCTGCTTTCTATTTCATTGGGACCGAGTGAGAAACTGTAATTAACATAAAACATTTATTTGATATAATTTTCTTTATATATATTATTTAATATAAATGAGATAATTAGTTTTAAGTGGCTGAGATCCTGTTGCAGTAGCATGCCAAAAGCATAACTTTTGGGAGTGGATTGCCTCAAGTTAAGAAATCTCTGTAGCCATTACTTGAGTTGCAAGACTTGGTGTGGAATGCATAAAGTCCACAGAGGTTTCTTAATTTGAGGCAATTCATCTCCAAAGGTTATGCCTTTAGCATAATAGTGCAACAGGATTTCAGCCACTATAATTTTTAGCTCTTTTCTAAATTAATTGGAACATAAGTCTGCACAAAGGTTACTGAAAAATGTAAATAATACAGCTGAACATACTTTTTAATACATAATTTATCTATTGGTCCTTGCACCACATGGTTAGATAAATAGCAGATGCAAATGAAGAGGGTTTGGAAAAACTTTTAAATGATGAAAACTCTTTTATTTCTAAACAAATAGCTAACTTTTTCTTATATTTGATTAAATTTCATACTAAGAAGATGGGTTAATTAGAAGGTTCAAATTCTAAATTAAATTTTGAATTCTCTGTAAGTGTTCCCTTATGTAACCAGGGTATTATCCTGTAACTGTGCTAGATGCATTCCTATGGCTTTATACCACAATAAAGTTATTTATTTATTTATTTATTCATTCATTCATTCATATTAACGGCTTTTTGAATAATTCTCATGCTATTCTGAAATACTAAATAAAATGAGTGTTTACTAAAGCCACTGTTCAAGGACAGATTCTCAGAAATATTTTTAAGTCATTTATTTATGTTTTTGATTACAGACTGAATCCACACTTAGTCATAATTTTATATCCTCTGGAGTTAATAGAACTGTAGTTAATAATCAGTCTCATTGAATTTCGTGCTTTGTTTGAAATATGACTAAGCATGGTTGTAGCCCGATGAAATTTTTTATACAATTTATATTACCATATAAAATGGGAGACAGACCTTAACCTTTACATCATTGCTGAAGCACTCTGCAAAAGATGAATTTATGTTACAAACAAATAAATATAGGCATAATTATCTCAAATTACATTCTAGTGCAGTCTGCCATCTATGGATGAGTAACAATTCTACTTGCATTTCTTCAAAACTATTTATAGGTTCCAGGGAAAAAATTACTCTTGCCTCATTTTTATCCCCTCTGGAATATTTATCTGTTTAATCCATTTACACCCTGCCTTTCTCCTAAACTGGAGCTCAAAGTGGTTTGGATAAGCACATTTAACATGTAGATACCTCCAAATGTTGGCTATGAATGTTTCTGAGACTGATTTTTACCTTCCCTCTTAGTTCAGTGTTCAATTTGAAATTAAAAAAATATAGAAGTAATATATTTATTTCCAAGGCACTCTGTGAATCTGTTTTTCTCTGTATAGATGAGTTGGCTTGGTATGTATAACAGGAAGAAAAGTTATTCTGAAAAAAAAAAGTCAAATAGTAGCCAGATATATGGTAAAACTTTGGTCAAAACACCGACAGTTACATGCTTTCTGTGGCAAGCAAAAAGCCTCTGTTCTTTTGTTTGCTTAAATTCCATACCTTCATCCTTTGTCTTCCATCAGAATTAACATTATCCATAGGAGAAGACAATTACCTAAATGTATAAGGAAAATCTAGCTGAAGGAAAAAAGCTAGTCTGTGCATCACTTAACATTCTGTAACTTGTTAATACAATATTGCCATGGAGAGATTTTTTTTTCAAAAAAAAAATCAATCTTGTGTACAAATGATTTCTGTAAAGCTGCTGAGATCTGCTTAGTCATGCCTTATTCTGTATCTCTAATAAATACAACACCAAGCCTGGCAGACTATTTCTGAAGGCTCTTTTGAAAAAAAAAATACTTCTGAAGGCATCTTATAGTCTAAACCATTAGTATTCTGAATCAGCTTTGTATCAGTGAATGATGATGTTGCAAGATGGCAAGTGGATTGTAATATATTCGCAAGCACAGATAAAGCACCTTACATAGAGGCTTGCATGAAAATCAGAACATTTGAATCTTAGATGGAACTGTTTTTGGAGTGTATAACAGAGCAGAGATATGTTGACAAACGATAACATGGTTTCATGTAAAATAATGCCAGAAGCATAGATCTTTGCACTTCCAAAGCTTTACAATAGATTTATTTATAATAATCTACTTCTTCTTTTTTTCCCAAGGGACAGAGTTGCTTCTCTGAGTTATCACGTGCTCAGTAGTCAGGGTAGAATCCCCGTGGTCCAGGTTGATGAGAGCGGCCTTCTTAATTCTGGATCTCTGATAGGACTATCAACACTAGAAATAGTTTCACGAGAACCATTTGGAATCAACCAGACCCTTACGGTCACTGTCAAGGTAATATTTTTTTCAATTCCTTTCAATTTAGTTGGCATGCCAGCAGAATAAAAGCTATTTGTACCATTTTAAAAGTGTAATTACTCATTATTTAAATGGGAGAAAGAAACTGAACCTTCGGTCTCAGAAATATAAAGTGCAATATATACCCATGAATTCTCCTTTAACAAGATGGCAAAACATAAATGTCATTAGATGGCATGTACTTCTTTACTATTATGCATTAGGCAAAGATCTCACTTGATCATGACAATAATGTCTGAGACATAGATCTTTGCACTTCAGAAGGCTTACAGTGCATTTATAAAGGGACTATTGGATTTCTATTATTTTAACGCACTTATAATATTGCTATTACTTGTAAGTTTTTAATATATTTGTTTAATTCTTTTTTAATATTGTAATAATTTGTTATTTTAATTTTACTATTTTTTCTATTACGTAATACTGTAAGCAACCTTGGAGCGTTCAGGAGAAAGATGGCATATAAATATTTTAAATCAATCAATCAGTCAGTCAATCAATCAATAATTGATTGCAGGGCAACTAAAGGTCATAGAAAGAGTCAAAAGACAGCTTGTCTTTAAAGAGTTAAAAAGGGGGACATTTTGCCATGTACCTTCAGGGAATTAACATACAATTTTGTAAAGAATATTCTAAATATTTCCCCTTACGTTAGAAAAACAGCAGTTCTGTTTGTTCTAGCACTTTCAGTAACATTCTCTCATGATTTCTGAAATCAAGCAGTCCTCCTCTAAAAGTTTGAAAAGAGGAAATCGGCTCCACACCTAGGACAAGGTGATCCAATTAGCTGACTTGCAGCTAACTTTTTAACTCCTTCCTGTCCAAACAGGTTTATGGGATTCGTGCTTGCAAGGAGATTCTGTGTCTGGTTATAAAAATGCAAAGAAATGCAGAGAAAGAATATTTTTAAAACTATTAAATGAATACATTTTTTTCAAAATGTAAAAAATATTTTTTTAAAAAAATCAAAAGTTCATTTATTTTAAACTGTGAAATTACTGTTTTTCCTTTGTGACTGTGGACAGTCTTATTGATGTCAGCAAGCTTCGGTGCCTGAATCTTGTCATAATCTTCAGGTGGTAATTAGTGGTTCAACCATTCCACCCATCTTTTCACTATATAATTGCTTTGTAATTTTTTTTTCAAGTTGGATATGTTATCATCAGCAAGTCAGTTCCGATGTGTTATTGAAAAACAACCATGACAATTGCTTGTCACACAATTGTTTGGGTGAGAGGTTAACTGATGAAATAAAGGAGTCGGGTTCTGGGATTTTCTCCTGCTTGATAGTAAAGGAGTCAGGTTCTGGGATTTTCTCCTGCTTGATAGCTCTGTTTGAATGGTAGTAAGCATATGAGGGTTTCATGTAGACCAGGGGTCTCAAACATGCGGCCCGCCGGATGATAGTTTGTGTCCTCCACCTTGCCTGCCCTCCCGTAGTTTGTGTCCTCCACCTTGCCTGCCCTCCTGTAGTGCCCACACATCCTCTGCTGTCAAGGGTCAAAAACAGCCTCACCTCGCTCGCTGTCTCTCTCCCAAGACAGTGCCTCCTGCACCGTCCATCCGAAACTGAACTGCAGCCTGTCAGCCAGCAGACAGGCGGGCTGGCGGGCAGGATGCAGTTCCGGATGGAGGGCACAAGAGGCGCTGTCTTGGGGGAGAGTGAGGCATGCTGCCGGGCTTTTCCCCGAGCACCTGAGCCACCACTGAGCAATGCCCGACAGCAGAGCTCACTCCCGTCCCATCCTCGAAGAGCACATCCAACAGCACCGCCAACAGCATCTGCCACCGCCACCATCTCTTCCAGGGAAGCAGCTCTCTGGCTGTCTTTCTCTTTCAGCACCCCCAGCACCAGCCTGGCCAGTGGCCGCCTCAGCGCGCAGCAGTGCTTCTCCTCCTCCTCTTCGTCCTGCTTCAGCCACCTTGGCTCTGGAGGTTGCCTGGGCTCGCCTCACAAAGTTTGCTCCTCTGTCGTGGTGGGAGTGACTGCTGCTGCTGCTGAGTGCTCCTTTTTTTTGAGGGGGGCCCTCAGAGGAAGGTTGCTGACCTCCATGTGTTTGTGTGCGTGAGCGTGTGCACACCTGGGGGGGCGCCCCGTTCTGTTTAATTTAGCAGGTACCGATGGGGGCTTTTCTCCTTTGGCAAGGCAATTCTGTGAGGGATTTTTTTTAATCTGATGTGGCCCAGCCTCACCTAGACTCTGCCTCCAGCGGCCCCCAGGTAAATTGAGTTTGACACCCTTGCTGTAGACCATCTTGACTGCTGACATTGGTGTTGTCAACATTCAGGCTGTTCTTTGCTATGTAAAGTTCAGGATCCTTTTTCCCACTGGCAACACAGGCACGCGATTGTGCAGCAATATTTATTTATTTATTTGTTTGTTTGTTTGTTTGTTTGTTTATTTATTTATGAATTAATGAATGAATGACATTTTATACCACCCTATTTAGTGAAAATCCACTACTCTTGGCAGTTTTACAAACAAAACCCATCCTTCACTACCTACTGCCACCCTCCAGAAACAAATTTTAAAAACCAAACAAATTGTCACGTTCCCGGGGGTTACAACAGCAGAGTCCGATAAGCCAGTCCTATGTTAGAAATTCAGAGAATGCAGAGCTGATATCCAAATACGAAAGCCAACTCACACAACGTAGTCCAGGGTCAGAGTACAAAGCCAAAACTCACAAGGTAGTCCAGGGTCAGAGTACAAAGCCAAGGGTCCAGAGAACAAGATTCAAGGTTGTCATGAACATGGATGCAAGCCAAAGTTTTGACTTGTTGCTTCCATGGACTTTCAGCTGTCTGAGAGCTGTTTATTTAGTAAAAACAGTCCTTGAACTGCTGGAAGCCTTTTCATCCTGTTAGAACTCAGGGCTAGTTGATTGGATGTTTCTGCGGGCAGCCTTCCAGCGAGCCTCTGACCTTCCCTGAAGCCTGGCCCTCAGCCTGTCTACTGGGGGAGGAGAATCTGGAGGCAATTCAGCTGTTTGTATTTCTAATCGCTCAGCATTCTCCTCAACTACTGTTAACCCTTCAGGTTCCGGATCTTCGGCTGCACTCATGACACAAATAGCAAATTCAAACTAATAACAAAATGATGGCAACATCCTATAATGATGGCAACATCCTATAACACAGAATATCCCTACCTAAGGGGAGGAATATCCTTAAAGTCTTCCTTGAACAATTCAATTTTTACTAACTTCTTAAAGATTTGTATAGGGGACGCCTGATGAATCTCCAATGGGACATCATTCCAGAGTGACACCAAGAAGGTGCAGTTCCTCGTGGACACCCTCATTACTTCTCTTGGCATGGCCACCTGTAACAATATCAGGCCATTTGCTGGCATTTTGAATCATGGGTACAGAATGACAATATACCACATTCATAAACTGGAGGAGTTTTTAAAAAGAATTTAATTTAACATATATACACAATTTTCCGTATTCAAAATCAAATGGTTGTTTTTAAATGATAAAATACCAAATAGTAGAATTTAATATAACTTAGGAATGAAGCATTTTATATTGCTATAGCAGTAGATTTGATATGAAAAAAGTTTTGAAAAGCTTCCCCACCATGGCTTCAGAAGCTCTGAAAAAATTCATCTATGGTCAAGACAGTAGAGTTTGTGAGGACAGCTTGGTGTACCGAGAAGTGGGGGGCATGGTACAGCAAGAGACACAGAAAAGGCTTGGTCCCACCTGTAATGTTTTCCCCGATAATTGCCCTTCTTTTAAAAAAAGAGGATTCTCTTGCAGAGAAAGAGACAGTTGTAGGCCATGAATGATGAACACCTGCAGATGGAGAAAAGATACTGATATACGCAAGAAGAGCCTCCTAGCTTCTCACAAACAGCGAGAACTAGGATTAGAAACTTCTAATTCTCTGTACAGCAGTGGTATATTGTGAACCACAGAATTGCTGGTTGGGTCATCTGTCCAACCTGTAAAATATTCTTAGATTCCTAGATAGAAAGGGTTACAGTTTTCACCTGAGCAACTGAGTTTCCTGGATGAACTTTCACGTGTTCATTCAGTTCAGAAACCCAGGATCAGATCTTAGCTCCTGACATCTGACTCATCTTGCCAACCTGTGTACACCTCAATTCTGCAATGGTCCAACCCTAGCCATTTCTTATACCCATCTTATACCCTTGTAGAAGAAGAGAGGAACCCTGTGTCTGGATCACTGAATCATTCAAAGTGTGGCAAACAATAATTCTGATTGTCCTCAGCTATACTGGTACCACAAAGAACAGATGGGCCCTTCTCTGACTGTCTTATTGAATACTAAAAACATTTTACTCTTGTTCCAGAAAGCAGCAATACTTACCCCTGTGGGGTTGGGGCGTGGCAGCTTTTAGGCGTACTCAAATCATAAAGAACTAAATCCAGTTGTTTCTAGTAGAGGAGACTCACTGAACTAATGGGACTTGTCAACACTTACATAACTTTCATTCTTTCAGTACCGTACATCTTTTCTATTTGGAGGCTAATAATGTGCATTACCCCAAGTTTGCTTTATATTTTGGTTTGGAAAATGTATACCACAATTATAGGACATTTTGAGAACACTAGTATAGAATTTTATTTAAATGTAACAAAAGTAAGGAACAAAATTAATCATGTTGCAGCTTGGCAAGAGCTAGACTGTGTCTAGATGGGCGGCATATAAATAAATAAATAAATAA